TCTTCACACACACAAAAGATAAAATACATTGCTTTTACGACAAATATTGCAATTCTAATGAGTAAACTATCTCTGTGTATGTGTAAAAAATTTTTGGCAAGTAAAAAAAAAAAAAATGATAAAATAAAGCATCGCTGCGGTTCTGACATCTTTATCAAAAAACAGAATGTTTAATGAATGTCATATTGTAACTGACTTAGCTCTTTTTACGCATGTCAAAATTGAGGCCACAGTTGTGGGACATAAACAAAAGTAGTGTTTGGACCCATAAAATGCTTTATAAGTTTTATTAAATAGCAGAGGTCTTGCATTAAATACAGAGTAAAACTGATGAAGTTTCAACACTAACACGGCCCCATAACACTTGCAGCATCTCACCACAACTTTACATTAGTATACCATGTCCAACTTTCAGATACAAAGATATGCTTTGTATCTGTCTCGATGTTTTAGCATTTCCTCTGCATTTCCATGCTCTTACTGTAGATGAATTTGGTCTAGCACTCAAACAGTTATATTTTAATAGTAGTGCATTTCCAGGCAACAAAAGTGAAAGAAAGAAGTGGGTTCATGCAAGTTACAGTCCTGATTAAACAAAAGTAAACTGAGGATGCTCTGTGTGTGGCACTGGGACAACGCTAGCTTCACAGGCTACCTGTTTTTAAGCTGCTGGCTAACTTGAAGCAGCACTCTGTCACTCGCACAGCACGGCAAACTGATGTTACTGTAGATCAAACAAGACAAAAAAAGGACCAACTTCAGTTTAAACATACCTAAAAGGAGGACTCTTTGTCTCATGTGAGAGAATCACACTGCAGTTAATGCTTCTAAAATAAATAAACTTTGCTTGCTTTTACACAGCGTCAGATGTACTGCGGTCCACCCCTCAAATTACTATGATAGACTAGAGAAATCCAGATGTCTGCTAGCTGTAAGTTCCCAATGCGAGTCAAAACAGCTGTTTAGATTTTCTCATGGTGGGGGGACCCCTAGTGGTTCGGACCCATAAAACCCATTGGATGATTGTCAATACTGATTGAAAGGAAAAAAAAAAAACAAACATAAGGGGATTTCATAATTTTCTCTATGGAAAATTTAGACAGCAACCTTAAATGTACATTGTCTTCACACACACAAAAAATAAAATACATTGCTTTTATGACAAATATTGCAATTCTAATGAGTAAACTATCTCTGTGTATGTGTAAAAAATTTTGGCAAATAAAAAAAAAAACATGATAATTAAAATAAAGCATTGCTGCAGTTCTGACATCTTTATCAAAAAACAGAATGTTTAATGAATAATGTCATATTGTAATTGACTTAGCTCTTTTTACATATGTCAAAATTGAGACCGCAGTTGTGGGACATAAACAAAAGTAGTGTTTGGACCCATAAAATTCTTTATAAGTTTTATTAAATAGCAGAGGTCTTGCATTAAATACAGAGTAAAACTGATGAAGTTTTAACACGGCCCCATAAACACTAACAGCATCTCACCACAACTTTACATTAGTATACCATGTCCAACTTTCAGATACAAAGATATGCTTTGTATCTGTCTCGATCTTTTAGCATTTCCTCTGCATTTCCATGCTCTTACTGTAGATGAATTTAGTCTTATCTAGGGTTGCAAAGGTGACACGTTTACATGTAGCCTACAATATTGATAATATAATGTACACTCACAGGTCACTTTGTACTTTTACAGTCTAATGTGATACAACAACTCTGCCATAAATTCTTTCTTTCTTTACAAATATAATAATGCTTTCAGTGTCAGTTTTCATTGACACTGACAGAGAAAGTGATTGAGGTTGAGTTTGCAGTGGTGTGGAACTGAATTGCATTATATTGAGACGTGTTCCTAATATTTTGTCCACCCCATTTACATACATGTAAAGGGCAGAATAGTAGAAACACTTTTCAATATAATGCACTTCAGTACAACATCACTATCCACTACGACCATAATAATAAATATAAAGTAGAATCGTAACAGTGTCAGCAAAAACTGAAAAATTCTAAGCTTTGTGAAAGTAGAATTCATAGCAGAACTGTTGTATTGGATCATTGCTCCTGTAAAATATCTTGCAGAAAAGACAGTTTTGCTAATATTACAAAGGCAGCTAGCAAGGTCTGCTACATTAGTTTTGTCTCTTAGCATCGAATATACATGAATTCAACAGTAATATTAATTTATTTTTAAAAAAGAATTTGAAATACACTGTTAAGCTATACGGTAATGACACTCAATAAATACTTCAGAAGAAAAGATTACCTTTACCTTGCTTTTGCTGGATCTTGGGTATGGCTGGGCGATAAAATGATAATGAATTATCGCGATATAACTTTCCTCGATAGAACTATAAGAAATGTTCGATAAATGTTCGATATAACAAACTTTTCTCACACTTCCACATCCTAGCGACAACCCTGTTGGCGTTTTCTACTACAAGGAAAGCAACACTCTGCTGTTGCCACAAGAGGGCACACTAATTACGTCATGATTAGAGAGGGAGGGGGCGACGAGTAAAATGAGTCGCCACATATACTTTAGATACTTTAGCAACACCTGAAACATGGAGTTATATATTCCCTGTTTGAGTGGAGCGATCTGCGATCTATTCTCCTGTGACCGAGTGTGAGTGACGAGATAAGTGGCGTAACTATACTGTCCTAGAGCATACTCCCCTCTTTCCTAACAACCTAACAAGCTTTAACAGCGTTAAATCATGTCTGCTCCACACAACTCTGTGTGTGGCACTGGGACAACGCTAGCTTCACAGGCTACCTGTTTTTAAGCTGCTGGCTAACTTGAAGCAGCACTCTGTCACTCGCACAGCACGGCAAACTGATGTTACTGTAGATCAAACAAGACAAAAAAAGGACCAACTTCAGTTTAAACATACCTAAAAGGAGGACTCTTTGTCTCATGTGAGAGAATCACACTGCAGTTAATGCTTCTAAAATAAATAAACTTTGCTTGCTTTTACACAGCATCAGATATACTGCAGTCCACCCCTCAAATTACTGTGATAGACTAGAGAAATCCAGATGTCTGCTAGCTTGTGTTTGAATACTGTGATATACTCTGACATGGATGTGGTAGGAGTGATGGCAGTACAGTGGTGTGATCCATCACTGATGTACCAAGCCAGCTAATGTTTGCTGTTCATATTAAGCTGACGTTGTTGAGAAATTAACAGTTAAGCACTTGAAACCAGATAGCCAAGCACTCGTCAACAGACAGCTAAAAATAATCTGTTCTCTTTCTTGAGGTATGACTAATACAAAAATTGCAACCGTGCTTTTCCAGCTGGTAAAAGCAGCTAACCAGACACTTTCTCCCACTATCCCACGAGAGATTTGTGAAATGTTCCACTGTTTGGTAAGCGTTTGTCATGTTTGTCATGCAAAAATCAGCCTTCAACCTTGAAAGAAATAATGATTTGACATTTAGGCAATATGTATCGATATTGACTGATATGGCCAAAAATGTTATCGCAATAAAAAAATTCATATCGCCCAGCTCTAATCTTGAGTCACCTAGTGTGGGTGGTGAGCACATGTGCACCATGTGCTCTCTTGGTAATTCCTACTTCCTTAGAAACTAGATTTATTTGGCTTTGGAAAAAAAAAAAAAACTTTTTCTATGACATTTGTTCAGTGTTGCAGTAAGGACTCAGAGGTGTGGGACAGATGCGTTTAGTTGAAAAAAAATCATATAAATGACAAACAATGAAAAAATTATTTTAATATGGAGTAAAGTAATATTTATATGAAACAATTGTATTTGAAATAATCTCATTGTAATTGAATTAGCTCTTTTTACATAACATTTAAGACCATATTTGTGGGACATGAACAAAAGTGGTATTTGGACCCATTAAATGCTTTATTAATTTTATTAAATCACACATGATAGCACTGTGTATATATTTATCAAGAATCATAAGACAAATTTTTAAATAAATCCAAAATTTCACTACTAGGATTTAAAAATGCCTATGGTTTTGAAACACCCTTAAATGTAGTTTTAAAATACAAACTCAATACCAAAAAAAGTCTGGACAGTATAAAATGCAAAAAGCAGTGATCAGTAAATTCTGTTTGACATGAATTAAACTGAAAACCGTATGATGACCTAGTGAACTTTTTTTTCCATTTTTTACCATTCCAAATATAACACCTGCAACACACTCCAAAAGAGTTGGGACAGGAGCAAGTTTACCACTGTGTTACATCACCTTTCCATTCAGTGGAACTTAATAAATGTCTGGGGACTGAAAACACCAATTGATTTCGTTTTGAAAGCAGAATTTTTTTTGCCATTCTTCTGTTATACAAGTTATCAGCTGTGCAGTCATATGGAGCCTTCATTGTTGCATTTTTCACTTCATAATGCACCATGCTTTTTTAATAGGAGACAGACAGGTCTGTATAGCACCTGCACCCTCTGACTATACAGCTATGCTGTTGCACATGCAGAACATCTGAAAAAAGATGGCAATAAAAGGCAGCATATGTTGCTCCAAAATGTGAATGTGTGTATTTCAACATTAATGGTGCATTCACAGAGGTACCCATGCTATAGGCATAAACCCCCACCCAAATCACGACAGACCCTGACTTTTAGCTGTACAACAATCTGGATGGTCCTTTACTTCTTCGGCCCAGAAAAAAGATAAAAGATAAAACATTAAACATCTTGTTTTCATTTAAATACAGGTCAAAGTGGACTTTTTATCACCATTGTACCATTATCAAAACTACATATAAAAATTCAAAATGCATAGGTGCACTGGTCATTTTGCATAGCTAAAAAAATGGTTAGATTTGCACTATTGAGACCCTGGTTCCTCTCACCACCATTATAAAGAAATCAAAGTTAGTAAGCTCTTCTATGATGCACCATTTTACATTACATTTTACAAACCATTCTGAATTATGCAAATCTTTTGAAAAATTGATTGAATTCCACTTAAAGGTAGATGTACCTTTATGTTCTGCAGCTGCTGTAGACTCAGATCTCATGGCAGCACCCACAAACACTCCATGGCTCCAGTTAAAAGTTTCATACACCAGTGGCACTCCTGAGAAAGAGGGAGAGAAGAATAAAAATATTTTTTTTATTTTAATGGACTAAATTGGTCTACTGCAATTTGTTTTTGTTAAAACGACCACACAACAGTTAGTGCCACAGTTTGAGCAAGTGCATTACAAATTAACATCACTTATACTTTAACACTTCAAAATGCCACATAAGCACCACTTCTGAGGTGGCATTTTCACCATGATTAGGCTACACAATGCTATTAGACAGATGTTTCCATTTTGCAAAAGAGAAAAGTAGAACATACAGTTTAATGTGTTATTGCCAACACATAAGATATGGCGAAGAGCAAAAAAGAGAACTGGATTTCAGTCTTTGGTACCAACCCTCTGGTCTCCTTCCACCAAATATGATGGCATCAATAGGCACTCCCTCGTCACTCTCCCAAAGGGGGTCTATGATGGGACACTGGGCTGCAGGAGCACAGAACCTGGAATTAGGGTGCGCGCACAGCATAGACGAACCTAAGGAGCAGAAAGGAAGACACCACAGAGAGGCAATGATGGAACAAGAGGTTACAATCCTCATATACCGTACACTTGAAGTGACATGTCAAAAATGTAAAAGCACAATACTTCAAAAACGTTTGACGATAAACGATTTGATACAATATTTATTTTTTCAGATAACTAATAAGTTGCCACATTTGAAAAAATATCATCAGGAAACACCCCGGACAGGTCGCCAGTCCATCACAGGGCAATCAGACAGACATATACACTCACATACACACTCACACTTAGGGGCAATTTAGCATGTCCAGTTGGTCTGACTGCATGTCTTTGGGCTATGGGAGGAAACCGAAGTACCCAGAGGAAAAACACACAGACATGGGGAGAACATGCAAACGGCAAACAGAAAGGACCCTGGTCGCCACTGGGAATGTGCCACTGTGCCACCATGCCGCCCCTATTTTCATTCAACTATATTAAATTAAACAGAACTAATTTTGTTCTCTTTGTAATCAAGCATACAATTGGAAAGTGTTTTAAGTACTGATAATATCCATGATCTGCTTAGAAAAGCATATTGTGAAATATTATGAACTAATTTATAGCAATGACAATAAATAACAATAAATATTGTTATATTGCCAAGACCTTCTGTACTCACACTCACCTTCTTACAACGCTGTTTCCAAAAAAGTTGGGAAGCTATGCAAAATGTAAATAAAAACAAAATGCAATGATGTACAAAACATGTAAGCCCTATATTTCATTGAAAATAGTACAAAGACAACATATCAAATGTTGAAAGTAAGTAATTTAATTATTTTAAAAAAAATATAAGCCCAATTCGAATTTGATGCCAGCAACATGTTTCAAAGAAACTAAGACAGGGGCATATTTACCACTGTGTTGCATCATCTCTTCTTTTAACAACACTCTGTAAGTGGCTTGGGAACTGGTTTGGGCGCTGAGGTGAAATTCGACAAAGCTGAAGTTTTTTTTCTACTTTCCCAATCTATATTAAATGGTGAAACAGTTACATTCAAGCACCCGCACAGGTGACAGAATATAACTGCTACTCTGTTTAATGTGCAAAAGAAAATTCAAACAAAAACCTGGCTAATAACAAGCCAAATCAATTCATAAAGAGCTAGAGAAGGGGTAATTTGGTGACATTAATCATTTAAACCTGGTAATGAGCTCAGCTGAGTCAGGTGCGTTTGAGCATGGAAATCACCAAACAAAGTGTCCATGGCAACAAAAGTGGACCATTTGTAAGATGATGTTTTGTTTCATCCCTGAAGCTGTAAAAATTTTGGATGAAAAATTTCAGACTATTTGAAATGTACAGACGTTTTGCAGTCACTAATCAATGCACTATTAACAAGCATACCTTTGTGTGCTGTAAGGTAAGTTTCACTTTATTTTAAGGAATGGCTTGGCAAAAACTAAAAATTTACATAATTTCCCCCTTATCTGCGTAGAGGCTGAAAGTTCTCCCTGGTTTGATTAGTCTACTACTGAATGTTTTAGTCTGTTAGTGCTATGAATGCTACCAGGTGGCCTGAACTGAAAGTTTGTAAGACATAGCAACAGCAAAGAAGTGAGGCAGGTCTGCATTTTGCAAATATTTAATGCTTTTTATAACAGTCTCCCTAGCAAACCTTACCAGATTTCCAGGGCTTTCCATGCCAGTCTGTTAGAGTAATGCCAGGTTCAGGAGGATCAAGGCCCTCCCACCAAATTCCACCATCGCTGGTCTCACCCACATTTGTGAATATTGTATTCTCAGAAATGGTTTTCATGGCATGAGGGTTTGTCTTCACGGAGGTGCCAGGAGCGACACCAAAGAACCCATTCTCTGGGTTAATGGCTCGGAGTTTGCCTGGGAAATAAATAGAGTTCTCTGCATCAGTCCTAGGAACCAACACTTTGTTCAGTTTATTTATTAATTTATTTCGCTAATTAACAACCTATCCTACACACTAGCTATTGCCATGTATTTAAAATATCTGACAAACCATAAGTAGCTCATGTAGTGCCACTAGCTACGTATTATTCTGCATGAGGCTAAATCATTTCTGCCAAAAATCCAGCAAATAGTATTAGTAGTATTAGCCTTTAAACAAATTCCAGACATTTATATTTGTGAATGTATTAAGTGTGACCTGTTTATCTGCCAGGTTATAATAACTGCTGGACCAAAATGTTGCATAATTCCCGTGGCTATTTTTAGTTTGAAAAAAATTAGAAAGAAAAGTAAATTAAGTAAAAATAGTTTAACTGTCCGAATTTTCCAAAAGAGGAACTACAACATTTTGATGAAACAAGAAGCACCATTCCTCTTATGTTCAGCTATATGCCTAACTACTAGAATGTTCTTAGCATCAGCTTCACATAATACAGACCTTTTCAAGACAGGAAATGGCAACAGGATACCATTTAAGAATGGCAGCAAACAGTGAAATGATAACCATGTTTTTTCTCCATTTACAACAGTGTAGTACATGTCTCAGGCTCACAATTAAAATATAAATTTTGCATTGCTCAATTTGACTTCGATTAGCAGGATAAGGTGTAGTAAATTAAAGATGGCATTCTGCATTTATTGCTTATTAAAAATATATTGAATTACAAAAAGCTGAAGTGGAACTGTACTGCAGCCATGAGCTAATATGATTTTGAATACAAAATCAATACAATACAAACAGTTTGCAACCGGTCTTGAAACCTGTAAGGAAATCAGCACTGAGCTTCACTATACTCAAAGCAGTGCAAGAAATAACGTTGCACTGGTTGAAATTTCAGTCCACTGTTAGACTACTACTGCATCAGCTTTGAACAACATATTATATAATATGATGTGCTACATTAGGGTTCATGGGCATCTATTATTAGCTAGACTTGCAATAAACGATCATTAACCACACAGTAGGAAGCTTCTAAAGCAAGCAGTGTACTTCAAATGATGAAACGAAATCAAAATATTGTTGAACATGTCTCAATATACTTAAAAAATCTGTCTTTGACACTCAGCACTGCTAGAGGCCTACTCCAAGCAGTGACGCTCTTAACCATGTAACACGGACCAATTAGAATCAATGAGAGGTGTCAGTACAAACAACATAGTTATTAAGAGTTCTGTTTAGCAACTGACTCACACCACAGTGTATGAACTCAGACCACCAAAATTGTTTAGCTTTGAAATATTTGCTTTGAAAGAAGTATATAATGGGCAATCATGGGCTGGAGGTTAGGAACCCAGCCTTCCAGGTTCGATCCCCTGAGCCAACAGTACATGACTGAGGTGCCCTTGAACAAGGCACCGAAGCCCCAACTGCTCCCCGGGCACCGTGGATAGGGCTGCCCACCATTCCGGGCACTGCTCACTGCCCCCTAGTGTGTATGTGGTGTTTCACTGCACGGATTGGTTATATTGCGGAGGTGAAATTTCCCTGTTGTAAGACTAATAAGTGCCGGCTTAATAATACTAGCAGCACTAATACAACATCTAGGATTGCCACTAAAAATATGTCCTCACCCTGACTGTCAAACTTCATCCAAGCAATATCATCTCCCACACATTCCACCTTCCAACCTGGCAGTGCTGGCTTCATCATGGCCAGATTGGTTTTCCCACAGGCACTTGGGAAAGCTGCTGCAAAATACCGTTTGACACCCTGGGGATTTGTGATTCCTAAAATCTGAGCATAAAAGACAAAGGAAAATAAACATTTAAAAAGCTCTGTGCATGCATGTGTAGATGTGAATGCTTAGTCAATATGTCAGCAGATTAGCAAGATTAAAATATTTTTGATCTTTTAAAGATGTATTAAAAATCACTTGTTTTCACAAAGAACAAGCATTCTCGCCAGTTACTCTCACCAGCATGTGTTCAGCCAGCCATCCCTCATCTTTGGCAATGCAAGAGGCAATACGGAGGGCAAAACACTTCTTTCCAAGAAGTGAATTTCCACCATAGCCACTTCCAAAAGACAGGATCTGCCTGCTGTCTGGGAGATGTGCAATCAACACCTTCTCTGGATTACAAGGCCACTGGTTCACCAACGGAGCTGAGGTGAATGAAGAAGTATTTTGCTTATGATTTTACCTATCTAAGAAGTACTTTGTTTTTAGTCTGGTTAAGGAAACTTCACTTCATGCTGAACATTACAACACAGCTTGAGCTTGTTGTACAAGTGCAATATTCCTCCATCATTAATTGTATCCATGATAAAGGCAGATTAATCACCAGCTTGACAGAATTGATCAGTCTTAGAGCAGCTCATTAAACGCTCTAGAGATCTAAAATAATGAGAAATGTATAAATTCAATTCAATTTGGGTGATCTATGTGTCACAGGCAGGGACAATGCTCTCCAATTTGACTGCAAGGCAAATGGGTGACATCTCACAGCACAATCATGAAGGCAAAGCTAAAAAGCTAAGCCTACATCTTAGGAGCAACATTGTTATGTAATATATGGTTGATACAGTCACATAATAAAAACAATTCGTCAAAGTCTGAAAATATTACTTTTTTCTATTCCATTAACCAAATTGATGCAGTCATGAAGGAATCAGGAAACAGCTACCATTTTACCAACTTCAAAATTTTGCATTTCCAAGAACAATATATTGAACTGAGAGAATGATAAATGTTAAATATAAACTCTAATGTTCCAGCCCCCCATTAAAAACTTTCCCTTGTATTTCTATAAATCTTAAACTAGCACTGTTTTTTTTTTCTCATTGTACAATTCAGACAGGCTGATGAGATTTCCTTTGACAGGCATAAAAAAAAAATCAATATAGGCAGTATTAATTTGATTGATACTGTAGAAATAGGGACTGTAAATCCCATAGTTCTTTATTTAAGACGGCGACACACAATGACAACATGCAGACAGACAGGTAGAAGTAAATGCCTGCAGACCCTTTCTGTCTAGGAGGCATGTACATGGCTGCAGCTGGGGTGGGGTTTGTATAGTTTAAAATCCAGCAGAAAAGGGTAAACAGTTCACTATCGTTGTTCACAAATTAGAGTTTGGAAAATGTGACCCTGCTCCCCGGTGCACACATTAAAAGGTACACTAGAAGACTCCCGTGCCAGTGTCTGTCCATGATGAATGCACATGTTCACTGATGTGATTTCATTTTGTACTAAAACATTCTTGCTCAGGAGGCACATTTGTGATGACTATATGCCTCCAATAAAAACTGGCAGGCAAATATGAGTACATGCCCTCCATTGTTAAGGAGGAGTCTATGAAAAATTTTTGTTTTTAGATTTTACATTGAACTTGGGAGAGAAAACCAAAAATTGCAGTGCAGTAAAATTATTAAAAAAAAAAAAAAAAGAAAACACACACATAAACACATTCCATCATGGATTTTAACCCATTGTTTTCAAAAAAAAAATGAAAACATAAAATAAAGGCTATAACTATTATTCTTGCAAATATTAAATATAAAAAAGTGACCCATATGAAATAACTTGTATTTTTAGATATAAAAATGTACAAAAAAAAAATTATTTTTAGTAACCAGACTTCATTAGGCTTTCTCCGAATGCTTTCCTTTCCTTGATGAAGCTTTGCACAATCCAAACTTTTAGTGAGGAGCCACCTGGGATGTTTTCCAACAGGATAAAAACTTAAAATTGTTCTTACACATCCTACAAATAAATTACTTGTTGGGGTATGTTCATTTTTTTTCTTTGAATAATTTTGCCATTCTTCATAAATATTTCTTCATCCCCTTTTTTTTGCTCATCTTTAACAAGAGTGCCAATAATTCTGAAGGGCACTGTACACAAACTTGGCTTGATTGGAATACAACATTAGTACCTTTAAGTGGCAGAGGTCTGCCCAATGAGTGTTGGCAACGCACAAACTCTACCCCTTGTGCAAGTTTCTCCATGACAGGTGTGCCTGTGCGAGTCATAATTCCCATGCTGGCTACCACATATGGAGAGTCCGTTACCTGAACACCAAATTTGGCCAATGAGGAGTTAACCGGACCCATACTGAAAGGGATAACATACATTGTCCGACCTGTGGGGAGACAAGGAAAGAACAAAATATTAAGAGCCATATTTAATAGTTTGTCTCAATTGATTTAACACATTTTTTTTGTCTGGTGTCAAAACAATTAACTCTGACAAAATTTGCTTAGGAATACAAATAAATACTATGTAATAAAACAAATCTGTGTCAGACCTATAAAAACACTGTATATAAGGCCTTTTATTATCTTATTACTGGCACAGCAATACTAATGCCATTTTTCATTAAGAATTTATCAAAGTCTTTGCCATTTCCTATCCAAAAATATTTTTTCTGATTGTAGTTTATAGTAATCTTCATACACAGTATGCCTACAAAATCATCTAATGTCTTAAAATGATGAAAAATCAGATGGAGGTATTTGAAATACACAAATTCTTGTAATTCGACTTTTACTTGACTATTACACCGATCAGGCATAACATTATGACCACCTCCTTGTTTCTACACTCAATGTCCATTTTATCAGCTCCACTTACTATATAGGTGCACTTTGTAGTTCTACAATTACAGAATGTAGTCCATCTGTTTCTCTGCATACTTTGTTAGCCCCCTTTTACCCTGTTGTTCAGGGGTCAGGACGCCTATGGACCCTCACAGAGCAGGTACTATTTGGGTGGTGGATTATTCTCAGCACTGCAGTAACACTGACTGTGTCTGTGTCGCTGCTGGGCTGAGAACAGTCCACCAACCAAAAATATCCAGCCAACAGTGTCCTGTGGGCAGCGTCCTGTGACCACTGATGAAGGACTAAAGGATGACCAACACAAACTGCACAGCAGCAGATGAGCTATCGTCTCTGACTTTACATCTACAATGTCTAATAGAGTGGACACACCACCACCAGAGAAACAGGTGAACTACAGTCTGTATTTGTAGAACTACAAAGTGTACCTATATAGTAAGTGGAACTGATAAAATGGACAATGAGCATAGAAACAAGGAGGTGGTCATAATGTTATGCCTGATCAGTGTACATGCCAAGACTCAAAATTATCTAGCATAATTACTACCAAGTGGCAAAATGAATAAACATTGATGAATTTCAACAAAATAAAAAATTCCCAAGGACAGTCACACCATATTCACTACAAGAAACACGTCTAAGTAAGAATATGCCCAAAGACAGGAAAGGGGAGGGCTGAGGGGGCGTCCCTTTTCCTGGGCATATTTTTTAACCAGCCCGAAATGGCCACGTTTCACATGTATGCACATTCACCTGATCCTCTATGTTTTCATTCAGGGACGCATTCACAAACTCCGAAAAACTCCAGTGCTATAACAAACTACAGACTAGAGACAGAAATTGCAAGAGAGAAAATGCATAAGCAAATGAATTTATAAACAAAATGCTGTTAAAAAGGGCAAATCTACTACATAAAATTCACTCACCGAAAAACAGACCCAATTTGAGCCTGTTGTTGTGCATATAAAATCGACCTAAAACCCAAAATTTTAACAGGCCTTGGGTTGGGAAGCAGACCTCTAAATTGTTTATCAAGTTATCCAGGTGGAAAGGTTTGTTTTAGTGTTTCAAAGTAGCCCATCAGTAATATATAATTCAAAATATAATAATAAATTGCTTATCTGTTAGTAAAGAGAAGGCATGTAGAAGAGATGGTTGATGTGTTTTTTTTTCTAGTTTTTAAGATTTTGTTTACAAGAGACTTCAGTAATCAGCGCTGAATTCCGGAAAGATGTATTCATGTCTAACTCCTCATTTTAAATAAAAAAGGTTTTAGAATTCCTGGGGAGGATGCCCAAAAACATTCCTACAATGAATTGTGCTGAACCCCAGATCTTTACATGTCACCCCTGGCTGAGGGTGTTGCATCATTCCCTACTCTTTAAACATGTTTAACTGCAAAACTGTTTGAAAAATAATGAGAGACAAGAATGTGTACATAATTAAAAGTCTGCTGGTGCTGGGCATAGACAGCATTTGCTAAAAAAGTAAAAAATCAGCTCCTAATGAGTGCAAATAATTCAGGATGTACACAAAACATTACGACCACCTGCCTAATATACTGTTGCTCCTCTCCGTGCCATCAAAACATCTCTAACCCACGAGGCATGGACTCTGAAGGTGCCCTCTGGTATCTGGCACCAAGACATGAGCAGCAGATTCTCTGAGTCCTGTAAGTTGCAAAGCAGAGCCACTGCGGATGAGACTTGTTGTTCCCATAGATGCTTGTTTGGAATGATGGGAATTTGGAGGCCACGGCAACACCTTGAACTCTTCACCATGTTCCATGTTCAAACCATTCCTGAACAATGTGTGCAGTGTGGCATATTATCATGCTGAAAGAGGCCACTACTGTCAGGAAATACCATTGATGTACCTCACCTGCAACTAAGTTTAGGTAGGTGGCATGTGTCAAACCTCAGAGTTTCCCAGCAGAGCATTGCCCAGAGCATTACACTCCCTCCACCAGACTGTGTGCCTCCCACAGTGCATCCTGGTGCAATCACTTCCCCAGTGACATGGTGCACACATACCCGGCCGTCCATGCAATGTAAAATAAAACAGAACACATCAGACCAGACGACCTTCTTCCATTGCTCCAAGATCCAGTTCCAATGCTCAGGTGTCCATTGTAGGCACTTCTGATGGTGGACAAGGGGTAACATGGGCACATTCTTCCTGTAACCATCATTAAAAATTTCTGTGACTTGTACCACGGTTGCACTTCTGTCAGTTTGGACAAGATGGGATAGCCTTGGTTGCCCTCACACTTCATTAAGCCTTAGCCATCCAACACTCTCTCATGACCACTGTTGGTAGGTTCTCACCACTGCTGATCAGAGCAGCCCACAAGCCTTGCTTTTTCAGAAATGCTCCGATTCTGCTGCTTTCTAAAGATGCTTAGGTCTTAGGATTTCTCACAACATGTTGACTATGACATTTTGTTTACCGTCTAATATATCCCAGATCTAGACACACAGTTGTTACCAGAGGATCAACAACACAATACAAGCAGCCTATGTTTAAGACAAGGTATACTTTTTTGACAAACTCATCAAAGTCCATGCATATTTATAAGGGAAAGGATGTTCATACTAAAGCATTTTCTTGGAAGAATGGCATATAAATGTGAAACAAACATAACACACATTCATTTTACATGTACCTAATTTAATTAATCTATTAAAATGTCTGACTGAATACTAGCTCAAGACTTACATAGAGGAAAGACGTCAAAGTCAAAACATATTAATGTTTTTGCTCTTTCATCAGGCAGTATGGCCTGTTAATTCAGAATCCCTCCAGAAGCTTAACTGTGACACACAAACAGACCTGTCATGCAGGCTGGGAAACGGTCCTCTCTTGCTTTCAGGAAGTCACTCTCACTCATCCAGTTGCCAAGCTGGCTCTTGATGCTGCTACTTGGAATGGGAACAGCGTCTCTCTGCTGCCTAGTCACTACCACTGTCTTACTCTCTACACGAGCCACATCTTTAGGGTCTGTGCGGGCCAGCCAGCTACAACAAACAGCATGTTTATAAATCAGTACAATTCTTTAATAATCATTTAACAGTTGAAGTGATTTTTAGCATTGCTTTCTTAAATAATAAAATCTTGCTGCTCAACATTTGCATCTTTCATACAAAGGACTTTAAGGCACAGTTTGAAAGCAGCTCCAGCTCTGATCTCCCCAACATTACATTAAAGTATATTATTTGTAATTTGCCAGCTATGGGCATCCCCTTCTCTGCCGAAGTTTTAGGTCTTGTCTTTACAGATTCCCCATGCACATCTTTTGAATATCTGGAGCTTTAAATTTAAAGTACATTCAAAGGAACGCCCTCCCACTGTCCTGTTAGTAAAGTTCCCACCCCTACATTTACGGCATTTGGCAGAGAAGAGAGCTGTTTAGATTTTCTCATAACTGCTTGTGGGGCCCTCACTAATGGTTCAGGCCCCTGGGCATGCTCTCCTAGAATCCAATGGATGATCCGGGCCTAATAGTGTGGGTTTTGAACTTTCAATGCACTGACATGATGTGACAAGTACATGTGACATTATGCAATTTCTCACAGCTAGCAACGTTTTAGTCAAATTTACAATTTTTTTTATGTGAATGGTTGAAGTTATGATTTCATATGCTATGCTTTCACATGATTTTTCATGATGCATATTTATGGATCACAGAAATGACAAATTTGTTTCATAAACGAGGTGCTAGTTCCTGATCTGGCTTGTTCTTGCACAAATTAAGGCCTATGCTAAATATTACTAACATAATATTGGATTACTGTAAATTACATGCCATTTTTCAGAAAAGAAAGCAATACTGTAAATTACTGAAGTATTAAACATAACATTTATAAAATACCAAAACACATGTATAAACTAAGAAAACAAGCTAACCAATATAGTGAGAAATTAAGAACCTTTCTGACAGTAATTTATTTGTAATGCTGAATAGGATCCCAGCTGTTTGCTGCATTCAATGTCTACATTACCCCAGAGCACTCAAATGTGGTGAGTTGAGATCTTTCTCAATCTTTTATTGGTTTAACAGAATGCTTATTGTAGTGGGAATGAAAAAGTTTGACAAAAAGGTCAGTCAACTTGGCTACAATCACCTCATTTGTTTAGAAATTCCCTACAAATATAAATGTGGCAGTTATCAGTGGCAAAAATTTTAATGACCTCTTACATGCTAACCTAGTGTTTGGGTGTAGAAGCATTAGCTGCACAGTAGTGCACAGCAATATATTTTTCCATATCATTTGATATCTATAATTACTTATCATTATGTATTCTGTAATGCTCAAATTGACTGAACTGCAAATAAAAGGCAAATAGCACCATGTACAATACTAGAGAACATCATGTTAACAACAATACCTGAGTTAATAATAAATACAAAATATAGAATAATACAATATAATATAACCACCCAGGCATAACAGCATGTTCAATTTTACTCTGCACTTTCCGGTACCACTTTTCAACTACATTTTGGTGTTTACAAAGTGAGTACGCAATTCAACAAATGGCTTTATGCTAATCCTATATGCTATATAAGCTACAAGCATGGTCAATTTTGGTGTAAATTTGACAAAAAAAAATTAGGAAGCAAAATTGGATAAGGAATCAGCAGTGAGGTTAGAGGTCAACCTTTTGCTTTAGTCTCTAGCTGCTTAGATATTTCTCCCCAGCAAAAAGACTCTCACATGCATCTTCTTTTTGTTGAGATCTCAAAAAAGGTCATAAAATGTCATAAATTCTCCTCAGATTTGCCAAGATAACAATGCTCATGTTCATCTGCCATAAAGGCAGTATAAATCAACTATTTCTCATCCAAGACTAAAAGCCTTCTCAGTTTTGATGCTGTGAATATCTTCATCATTTTTATCAGACATATCTGGAGTCTCCTTTTTGTCTACTATAATTTAGCAAAAACATCTGTGAGAATTAAGCATTTGTCTGTGACCCACAATATAATACAAAAGAAGATTAATAATTGTACATTGTGATAAAGTTTACATAAAAGTTTATTAGGTATGCTTGATATTGATGGTGACCTAAAAAAATATATATATACACATACACACATCGTAAATTTATCGAACATTTCTTATAGTTCTATCGAGAAAAGTTATATTGCGATACTTATCGTTATCATTTTATCGCCCAGCCCTAAGTACAATATAGTAAAGGTGCCTACTTTAAGTGCAAAGCTTAGAACTGACATTGCATTACTCACCAGTTCTTATATTTCTGCAATTTTTTCACCATGCCTTCTTTTTCCATGCCAGCCAAAATGTCTGCTGTCTCTTCAGGTGTGCCTGTCACCACATGCACTTTAGCAGGATTGCATTCTGCCACAGCACCAGAGACAAATTCCACCACAGCTTGGGGGAGCGGGGGAATGGAAGCCAGGGAGCGAAACCCTACTGCAGCTGTGCCAAAACTATCCCGCCTGTAAACACAATAACATCCACCAATTGTTAGGTACATAATAAAATCACCATTACAGAGAAATCAAGTAATTTGTGTAATTAAACTAATTAATGTACAAACTGTGGGACTAAATTATTTCACTCCAAGCTGCAAATAATCCAGTGGCTATAAGGTCATGCAGTCTTATGCTCATATAGAGTTGGATTTAATAGTTTTGCTGGTGTTTTAAGAAGGTATGAAATTTGTTATCTGTGTGAGAAGAAATTTTTTATCTTAACAATAAAAATGTATATTTAGATCACAAAGCCAAACAAGAATAATACATGCAAATGAAAATAAAATAATCTGAAGTTAGTGCACTAGCAAATGAGTGCTGCCACTAATGGCCAACTGTTTCAATTATGTGTAAATGCAATATCAATTCTTGTGTCAAGCAATATGAATTAAATTTGTTTAAAAAAAATCTTTTTCCATTCCATAAAAATAATAATAATAATATTCATTTAAGGCACTATTGACAATTGTGGAATCTGTGTTGGATCACATTTGTGCATAAAATACACATGATCCTCCTCCAAAAGTATTTGAATGGCAAGGTGAATTCTTATGTTTTACCTATACACTAAGATCAAACGATGAATATGAAACAATAGATCAGAATTTTATCGTTTATTTCCTGATCTTTACATCTAGATGTGTTATATGACTTAGAACATGGCACCCATTTTTCAGGTGGTTCTTGTTGCCCAGGTGTCCCCTGTTAGATTGATTGTTTAATGAATTAATAGCTCTGAATGTCTATTCTTGGTTTGAGCCCTGGGTTTTGGCTTGTGAAGACTGCATTTGTTGTTAAAAAGGATAAACCAACATGAAATCCAGAAAGTCAAGACAGTTCTTCAAGCGTTCTTTACTAAAGAAAATGTCTCTATATAGAACCATGAACACTCAAAGAACTCTCCACATGATGAAAGTGTTCTTCAGATTGACAGAGAATGTGCTTTAATTGGTTCTATACAGAACCTTTTTAAAAAGGGTTCTATATAGCACCAAAAAGCTTTCTTCTATTGTTACAAGCTTGAAATCATAACAATAGAAGAACACTTTTTGGTACTATATAAAACCCTTTTCAAAAAGGTTCTATATAGAACCATGTATAAAAGATTCTTCATCAATCTGACAAACCCTCTTATGATGAAAAGAACCCTTTAATCATGCAAAGTGTTTTTTGATTGTTCATGGTTCTACATAGAACCATTTTCTTTACTAAAGCAGCATTAAAGAGCCATCTTTAAGTGTATGGGAGAAAAAAAAGGAATTTTGAAGCTGAGAAAAGATGCACAAGCATTGAGCATAGCTAATACAACAATTTGGAATGTCTTGAAAATGAAAGAAACCAAAGAAACAACAGCAGTTGATGACTGAAAAAACCTCCACAAGGCAGGGGTGGAAATAGCACAATCCACTGTTTAAAGAAGACTTTGAGAGCAGAAATATGGAGGCCTTCCACAAAATGCAAATAGAGAGAATTGGAAGGCCAGATTGGAATTCACAAAGAAATACAGAGGTGAGCAACAAAAGTTCTGGAACAGTTTTACAGACTGATGAGACCAAGATTAACCTCTACCAAGTGACTGAAAGGCAAAAGTATGGAGAAAGAAAGAATCTGTTCATGATCCAAAACCTACAAGCTTATCTGTCAAACATGGTGGAGGTAGTGTCATGGATGCTTCTGAAACAGGCTCACTAATCTTTATTGATGTAAATAATTATGCTAGTCTACAGAAGTCTACAGAAACATTTTGCCTTTTATTACAAGGAAATGCACCTATTTAACTGGAAGGAACTCCATTTTGCAGCAAGAGACTGGCCAAGTCAATGACAATTCGGCACGCATTTCACCTCCTGAAGAAAAGACTCAAGGTAAAAAACCCAAAATAAACAACAACTAAAAGAAGCTGTGGTCAAAATCACAAAAGAAAAATGCAACAGCTGGTAATGTCAGTGAGTCACCAGCTTCATGTAGTTGCTGCATGGACACAGAACCCGCAACCCTGTGAGCAACTGGCCAAATCTCTAACCTCTATGCTGCCACTGCCCTGTTTCGATGTAAATATCAGCTAATAAAATGAAATTCTGATCTATCGTCTCATTCATCTTTTGATCTCAAACTCAAATGTCTTCAGTGTATAGCAAAAACAAAGGAATTGTCCTTACTGTTCCAAAACTTTCAGACAACTGTGTATTAATAGGACAAAAAATATATTAGAATGAATGAACATGTTTAGAAACATTCATGCTTGTGGAATGAAAACCTAAATGAAGAAAAGAATTAACTATATGATTTGTAAAGCACAGGCACATATGAAGAACTGCTCTTCAGACATTTCTTGGCACGAATTCAAGAAGAGTTCTTGCTCAATTATGAAAAAAAGTCTGTTGCTCAACTGCTGTTCAAAATGTCTATCTAGGTTCAGTCATACCCAGCTACAGCAAAAAGCTGAAAACTAATACAGACAAAATAAGAGAAGATAAATGAATTATTACCTCCTGTTAAGGGGTATGATTTGTGAGAGCGAGCGACAGAGAGAGTGCAAGACAGATAATAAGTTTCTTTTTACTGTCACCATTTTTCGAGCTCTAGCTAGCTTCGTTAACTTTTTTGACTAAGAAAGTAATGAGAACTACTTTCAAATAGAGTGACTCTTGATTAGATGACTAAAGTTCAAGACATATGAGGAAGACATTGCTGTTCTCTTTCATTGGTGTCTATCCCTTTATTCACAGAACCTGCTTTTATTCTATCATGCTAAAACTTCTCTGAAAAAAATAATGTCTGAAAATATTCAAAATTTGCAGCATTTACTGCTTTATAATGTATTTCACTTAATGCTTCAAAAAGATGACTAACGCTTTACCCATCAAAGGAGTTTTATTATTATTTCTAATATCTACTCTTTTTTGTAACATATTACATGTAGGCTACAGGACTGAGGTTTTAAAAATATATCAAAATAAGTGCAGTAGTCTGATAAACTGACACCAGAAAACACAGATAAGTTCCCAGTTTATCAGGATTTCATCACATTGATTCTTATTTTCGCTCTTTCATTTACTCTCATAGATAGCTCCTGAGCTTTGCTCCTTTCCTATCCTCAGAAGCCAAACACACACCTCCTTGAGAGTGGGCCAATCAGGCAAGTATACGCACTTACTCCCCCTCCGCCCTACTCTCCTTGGTTTAATTGTTCCCCAAGCACATGCACACATGCACGCCCACATCATATGCAGTCTCACAGAATTTTTCAAATAACTAATTTTCACTTGAAGAAATGTCATTGTGTCAGAAATTATCTTGTAGCTTAGAAACAGAGACTGAATCCATGTCATAAACCACACACTTATGAACATGCTCTGTAAGAGAACTATCAGTCAGCAGCATGCTCTATGTAGGAAAAAGCTTAAAGAGATGATTTCCTGCTGTGCAGATTTGCTGTCTGTGAGCAATGATACTACTCCCTCTAAAAGAACATAACAGTAAAGGAATGCAGAACAAAAAAGGAATGAGGATTAGAAAGACTGGATTACATTATACTTCACTAGAAATGCCAGCCTTACACCTGAATGCTGTTAAATGGACTCAGAAGAAGAAACCATCTTCCACAAGGGTCACAAATCAGTTAATAATTTCTCAGCAGGTCAAGAACATCTAGTCTTTGTGTCACAAGTTCAAGTTCTGTCAGCTAAAGCATAGTAAATTTGGTTTTATATTTTCAACTCTCTCTTTAATGCAGACAGCAAACTACAACCAAATATATTTAAAAAATATCCTTCATTACGTTTCAATTAACTTACTGCTTTACTCATTAAGAAAGTTTTATTTCCCATGAATTTAGCTACAAGAATGTAAAAGTATATAAAATGATGTGTAGTGAAGAGAGCGACTTCCTTTAAGATTACCACAGACTGCAGTTTCTGAAAACACACCTTAAATTTACAGGCTATTTTTTCTTGCCCTAGAACGATTGTGTCATGCCAGTTGGGACTTTAAATCAGAAATTAAATCACTTTTAGCAAAAAGAAGAGCTTCTCCTAAGCTTGCTACAGCTTGCAGCTGCCAAAAAACCATGGTTAAAAATCATACTTCTCTGATAGAAATTTTATTTCTATCAAAGCATTGTGAAATCACTTGTGCAGATTGACAAGAATTCATTGTTTTTAACCCTCTAAACAGTGCCTCTGGGGAGATTTATCAGAAAACATGAAATTAGTTTCTAAGTTTAAAAGATATGTCTAGTTGGATGTCAAAAAAGTTGGATAAACCAGGATAAGTTGGCAAGATAATAGACTCTGATCTTAGCATTGTTCCTCATATAAAGAACATCTCTAAGGTTGTGTTTTATCACCTGAAGAAATAGCAAATGTTATGCCTCAAAGGAGGATGCATTTGTTACCAGAAGACGGGATTACCGTAATGCTGTCTCTCATGGAAAAATACATATCTACAAAAACTATTTATCCCTGTTACAAAATGTGGCTGTAAGGATCTTAAAAAAGAACAATGACAGCAAACATATGACACTTATTCTTGAAAATTACAACGGCTAGCTGTGGGACCCAGAACAAATGTTAAGTTTTTTTTTTTTTTTTTTTAGTATTTAAGACTCAATGCTATAGTTAATGCTGTGGATTAGAAACTATACTCCCAACCAGAGTTTAAGATCTGTGAATGCTGTTTTCTTTGAGAGGCCCCAACACAAAATGAAGAAAACTGGTGTAACTGGTGTAAACTTTAGTTTTTTGTGTGTCATGGATATGGAATTCACTTCCTTCTAAAGTTTGTCGGGCACCCTTAATAGATACATTTAAAAAGCAGCTTAAATTTTTATTTTGTAAAGCATTTTCAGCTACTTTTTTGTATGAAATGTCCTCTTCAAGTGTAAAATATCAGGGAAGTACTACAGAATGGGTACAGTAAATTTATTTTATCCAGATTTACTCAAAAATGAGTAAAATTCAATAAAGGAAAGTTTCAACACGCTAAAGGGTACTTACAGGAGATTGTTTTGTCATTTTTGATTCATTAAAGCATTTTACCAAACGTATGTTCTGCGAAACTGAACGAAGGACATTCTTGAAATATTTTTGTTGTGGTTTGTTTTCTGTCTTCTTGGGAGAGTGAAAATATAGTTTTATTTTCTTTGCTGAACTTTCATTTCATGAGAAATCAAAGGAAGATGGTTGAATTTCCAACGAATACCGAATTTAAAACCAACTTACCGCACTACCTGCAAACTCTTCAGTCACTCGGTTAGGTAAACGAGCACCTACACTCGTACAGTAACTTTGGTAGCTTTTCAACAATGGTAGCACATGCAAAAGTTACAAAAACATTTCATTTTATGATAAAAAGGGTAAAAAGACACATACCTTCTCAGCACACCCAGTAAACGACACGACATCTTGAGAAACAGGCTAGTAACAAAAGAAATGTTCCAAAAACAAGGAGAGTGTCCTGGGAGCGCCTACGCTTCACTCTAACCACTTCTTATATATGGGTAATCTCAAAGATAGAAGCCCCAGTTTTGAGGTTAGCCTGAGAGACCCTTGCACTTTAACACGTGTAACTTATCTTGACGCCACACGTCTCTTGCTCAAGTACCATTGCTCTTCTTCCAATCATGCCCATTGGTTAATACTAAACATGAATCACATTGAGTTGGATGTGCAAATAATACTACTTCGGCTGTCCGTAGTTACAGTCCGCCACGTCAATAAAAGGCTCTATCACTGCAGCCAACAAAGAGTTCAAGCTGGTCTAACCACCCCCTTAAAACGTTCTGGAGGAGAAAGCTATAGTATCATTTCAATCCTAAAATCTTTTTAGCTTGTGTTTTGAGGTGTGTCCCAGTGTCTAATATCAAGAACAACTTCATCTTCCACCGTACGCCTAGACAGCTGTAAAATCTCCTAACACCGGCTGACGCAAGCTCTCGACTCCTGTTCCTCTTCCTGTATCCGTGAAGGTATACTGTAGGCTGTGTTTTGCATAAACGTGACACCCGCTTTGCGTTGTTTTTAAATAAAGTTGTAAAGTTCACATCGCAAATGGGTTATTTTTTAGACTTCCAATAGGCTATAGCTTTGGGTACACAGTGTACTCGGCAGTGCCGAGTAAGCACGTTTGCAAGTTAATAAACAATTGTTAGCGGAGGGAGGAAACAGACAGCCTAAGCGATACGTGTGCCGCCTCCTTCGTTCAGAAGGTTTATGTCTGTGTAACGGTGTGCATTTTAAATAGACTGTTTCATTTATAGACGTTGTCGCATGTGTAGCTTTACAGTTCTTAAAGCATAAAGTATAATTTACTGATCTAAGCCTGTTTAGTTTTTATTGTAATCATAATACATTTAGGCAGGCACAAAATGAGGCTGTCCTACAAGTCGATAGGTGCAATCAATATCAGGAAAGCTGTGTCCATACAACATGTGTGGCGAAGCATGCAAAATAAATATTTAGTTGAGCAAGATGCAATAAAAGTAGTTACCCGGTGCGCAGACATACATTGTTAAGTAAGCTGTACCATAGAAGTGTTCACTGTAGGCAGAGTAATCTGTGCAAATAGACTTGAGTACTTGAATATGCTGTTGGTAGTACTTTGTTTTATCAGGAGTAACCTTTGAGCAGTGGTAATCGCTTTCGCGTGTGTGAGTAAATTGGAGACCTGCCTCTGACTAATGTTATAAGTGTTGACACATAGGATATCTATTAAAAAGGTAGTGTGTATTAAATGTAAGATAAAATATTGATGCTCAGTGTTTTTCTTACTTCAGTAACTTCTTAATGCACTGATATACATGTGACCCGAAATGTTCACTGGCTATGTTTACATGCAGAGATTTTCGCCAATCCGATTGAATACATTCCGATTACAGATTCAGACTGAGGTGTTTATATGCACATCGTACTCTACAATCTTATGAAAATCTCCATTTACATGCACAGTACACGTAATCCGATCCAAAATTACGCGCATGCGTGGACTACAATTTAGTGTAACCGTTACTATGACAACAAGCTTCTCGTGAGTCCAGTAAGAGTGAGTCGAGCAGGAGTATGTTGCCTGAGTTCACAGCTGGCGTGCTTGTGTTTTTAGTTGTTTTAAAATTATGGCCGACTCAGGAAAACGTAGTTCACATGTACTTTTTAAAAAAGGGGCGAGAGGAAGACGTCGTGTCCTGCAACATTCTGAGACACATAAACTGGATGCCAATCCCACCACCGATGACACGATACCTCTGGAAAGTGCGCAGTAAAGACTGGTGGGAGAGAGTCGTACTGAAGGAATTCACAGATTTGGAGTGGAAGCTAAATTTTCGAATGACACGGCAGTTGATTGAATGATTTTATGCGAATTAATGTCAGACTATATGGCCCCCGCAGAACATACCGTAAGAACCCCTATACCAGTAATAATGCGTGTTGCTGTTGCCTTGTACAAGCTAGGCTCTTGCGCCGAGTATCGCGTTATCTCCAACCAGTTTGGCATCCACAAAAGCACCGTCAAGAAATTTGTGTATCTGTTCTGCAAAGGAATTGTACAGTCGCCAATTAAACAACTTATAAAGGTTCCAAATGAAGAAGCAGCTTTGGAGCTGGCTCGCAGATTTGAAGCCATTTCCTATATACCTCAGATTATGGGCCTAATCGATGGAACACACATTCCAGTTCTTCCCCCCACAGATGGGTACAAAGATTTTGTAAATAGAAAAGGCTGGCCCTCCTACGTGCTTCAAGGAGTAGTTGATGACAAAGGCTGGTGAGTCAATTTCACAGCATAATTTTAATTACATTTAAATAAACATTTATTTTCTACATTTGTATTTTAAAATTGTTGCAAATAACAGAAATCTTAAATCAGAGTCTATGTTAAGTTAAATATGAAGCATTATTATATAGTAACATTATTAGATACACTATGTGTATGTATATTGTAAAAACATCATTCTATTTTTTATGGTTATGACCATAAAATGCAGATCAGTTAATCTTTGTTTCTAAAATCTATTTTTATTTTTTGTCTTTTCTAGCTTCTGGAACATCAGCTGCAAAATGCCTGGGAGCGCACATGATGCCACTGTGCTTCGTCAATCTGAGCTCTTTCAGAAGGCTCACCTCCTGCCCAAGGTAATGTGTTATGTAAGACGGTGTATTCTTAGAGCTTGTTCATAGTCACGGTACATAATATCCATCTTCTTACTTTATAGGGTGTGAAAAACATTGAGGGAGAAGAAGTCTGACTCCTGGTTGTTGGTGACCCTGCTTACCCCTTACTTGACTGGTTAATTAAAGGGTACACAAACTCCCCCAACCTGACACCAGAGCAGGAGTCATTCAGTGTTTACCTTAGCTCACTTAGGGTAGGGGTAGAGATGGCTTTTGGCAAGTTAAAATCAAGGTGGCGAGTACGGCTAAAAAGAAGTGACTTTCACTTCTCATTCGCACCTACGATGATTGCCACATGCTGTGCTTTGCACAATTTTTGTGATAAGAAGAAAGATGGCGTCAGTATTAACTGGCTGGAAGTTCAACCAGTTAATGTATCTACCAGCAACAGTGGCATCAATGCAAGGGAGGTACTAACCAAGTATTTAGCCAGTCAATTTCCCCTTCGACAGGGTCACTTACACTAAACAATTCAGAGTAACTGCAGATTTTAAATCAACATACTATGTATAGTCATATGTAAATGTTACAACACCCCTTGGTCAAATTGCATGTTCTGTTAAAACTTTAGGTTAAAATAACTACACATGTGCAGAGAGAAAAAAAAAATTTATCTTTAAGTTAATATATTGTGGAAAAAAACTGGCATGCATCAAAGGTAAAGAGACACTGTTTTATTTTTCAATATTTGAAGTTCAGCGACGTCAATTGAATGGGGGTTGTCTAAACCTTTGCATATGACTGTACATACTACTCATTACTCATTAACTCTGGACATACAAAGTATGCAAAAACAAAAAGAAAACATTTAAGTGAAAGCACATTTTATTGTATAGCAATTTTTGTGCAACATACTATACCTTAATTTGAGCTATTAAGGCACAGTTATGTTCTTTAACCGTAGGAGAACAGTGTGGTGAACAATTTGTTTTTGAATGTAAAAAATGTCAGCAGCAACAAATAAAAAATTGTGCATACATTGTGTAAACCTTTAGTTCAGTTTAAATAATGAGTGCTGTTTATGAAAGTGTAACTGTCAGTGTCACTATAGAATGGGGTGTTCTGTGAGCGGTGAACATTTTGGCTGTCAGGGTATGGATGACATGGTTGGAGATGGGAGTATTGGAATTGTGCGGTTCCACCCTGGGTAAATGGTGGCATGCTCATTGTCTGGGAAAAGATGCTACTAAGACCTGATAGTAGTTGCCCTACAAGACGCTCATTTAATCGTGAGGTTTCCTCGACCAGTTTAGCAAGAAGCCTCTCTTCACCTTGTTGGCTTCTCTCCAGTTGTTTTTCCATCCAAACATTTTGCACCTCCTGCATCTTTTCCAGAAATGATTGCTGCTCAGTTGACCAAGTGCACATGGCCTTGTCGTAACGAGAGGAAACTCTTGTTCCAGGTCCTGCAAAGACATGTAGTGGACTATAAGCAATTTTTTAGTATAAATCCATTACCAATAGCTTTTACTTTAACTACATATAGAAAACACCCTGAACACTATTCTCTTTTTTCATGAGATTCAGACTTTTATTTTGTGTTTTATTACAGGGAAATTCTAAAATACTTGTGAATGTGCTTAAATGAGCTATAACAGCAACCTAGAATCACTAAGTGTTTCCCACATATTACTGGTCAGAAAGACACCAAAAGGACAAAATACAAAGTATGTACAATAAAATTTAAAAGTAATAATCGTTGAAGTTCTTCCCTCTCTACTTTCACATATTTTAAAAACTAAGCGTAACATGGCTTAAAAGTACTAAAACCCCAAACTATAAACACAACTTCTCTCATTGCTATGTTTGGCATGTGACAGTGCTTATAACCATATGTCAAATGTTGGTTGCTTTAACTTGTTAAATTTAAGCTCTTTCTTTATACACTCACCGAGCACTTAGGAACACTAATATTAATACTAATACTGGGCAGGGCATCCTTTTGCTCTAAAAAAACTATCTAAATTGCTTTCTTCCACAAGATGTTTTTCCTTTGAGATTATAGACCATGTTGACGTGACTGCATCATGGAATTCCTGCAGATTTTTCAAGTACACTTTGATGCTCCTGTTTTACCACATCCCAAGGTGTTCTATTGGACTCAGATCTGGTGACTGGGAAGGTCACTTAAGAAAACTAAGCTCATGGTCATGTTTATGAAACCAGTTTTAGATGACTTTTGCTTTGTGATATGGTGCTTTATCATGCTGGAAGTAGCCATTACAAGATTGTAAAGTGTGGCCAAGAAGGGATGCACACAGTCAGCAACAACACTCATGCAGGCTGTGGCATTCAAGTGATGACTGATTGGTATTACAAGTCCCAAAGTGTACCAAGAAAACATTCCCCCACACCATTACACCACCATCTGAATGAGGAGGTACCTAGGTGGTTGTTTTGGTACATTAAGCCAGGTTAAGCTTTTTTTCTTATAATGGGTATAACTAGAGAATAAAACCTAACAAACATATATTATTTTTAGATTACAGGTTTGTGTCTTTGACAGTAAAAAGTACTCATGACCAGTGAGTTATGAGACATTTGATTAGATCTTTGTTTAAGTACATTAAGCCAGGTTAGTTTTAGAGTTTTAGAATGTTCCATGGAAGCCTAAACCTAAAGTAATGCTGGAGTAATTAAGAAATGAATGTACTTTTTCGTGAAGCCCCATTGGTCTGCTCGCTGCCATCATCAGACTGGACGCTGGAGCTGGTTCCACTTGCAAATGTAGATTCCTGGGCAGCGGTAGCGTTATCAGAGTTATCAGAGGTGATCTGGTCCGCATACTCCTCAGGGCTAGAATCTTTAAAAAGGTAAAGACACTATAATCAGGCTCAGTTAAACAGAAATTAAAGCTAGCTAACTAGACAAATATGCTCATTATGACTAGCTAATCAAATAAGTACCCAGCGATGCACTTACCCTTGTTAACGTTTTCCAGCGTATCCATCGTCAGCAAACCCAACATCAACACTGTTTTCATCCGTGTTAGCAAGGGGTCGATCTCCCATGAATTCGTCCATAATATCGTAAAACGGAAAAGTGGACGGATCGGAGCCGCTTTCACCATTCTGGCTTTTAGCTTTGTGATACGCCGATTTGAGAAACTTCCATCTGTTTTTAATTTGCTCTATAGTTCGTGTAAACCCGCTGTCGTTCATTTGCTCATATAGTTACTTGTCTGAACAGCTCGTTATTACGAGCTTTACGGCCATCCATCCTGCTGATTATTTTTAAAGTTTGAAGCATAAACTTTGTCTCTCCTGAAGACCAGTTTCTAGCTCCCGCCATGTTGAAACTTCCGCTATGACGCGACGCACATGTGCAGAACGTACTTACATGTTCCGACTGGAATGTGATCGGATTCAGGCGTTTACATGGCTATTATTCTTCTATTTAACGGATTATTTAGAAGTTTACCCACCTCGCTCAATCGGATAGAAATTGTATTCCGAATGGCCTCAATCAGATTAGTCTATTCCGATTGAGGTGTTTACATGGACGTATTATATTCCGATTGAGCTATTAGTCGGATTCTTAACGGATTATCAGTCTGCATGTAAACGTGGCTACTACTGTTAAAGGAACAGTAGTAACTCATTGGCTATGTTTACATGCAAAGATTTTTGCCAATCCGGTTGAATACATTCCGATTACAGATTCAGACTGAGGTGTTTATATGCACACTCTATTGAACAATCTGATGGAAAATCTTCGTTTACATGCGCACTGCAAGTAATCCGATCGAAAATGACGCGCATGCGTGGAGTACCACTTAGAGTAAACGTTACCATGACAGCGAACATCACGTGAGATCCAGTCAGAGATGAGTTTTCAGTTGGCGTGCTTGTTTTTAATTACTTAAAAAATACGTCAGACTCAGAAAAATGTACCTCACATGTACTTATTAAAGAAGACGAGAGAAAGACGTCATGTCCTGAGACACATAAACTGGACGCCCGTCCGACCACCGTCTTTTAAAGCTCCCGCCTATGGAGGAGCAGATTTGCCAAAATGAAAAAGAAATAAAATTAAAAATAAATGACTTGGTGAATTAATATATTAAGTAGAATGGCAAAAAATAATGATGATAAATCTGAAAGTAAATAAATATACATAATATAATTAATAAATAAAATCTTATATAAATTAGTACGTGCATTTATTGATGTCTATTTAGTAATTTCCCCTTCTCACTAATTGTTGTATTTTTTTGTTATTTATATGTTTCTTTATTAACATTTTTTCTGTTTTTCTATTCATTTATTTACATAACTATTAATTTCTATATTTATTTATTTCTCTTTTTATTTATTTCTGTATGTTCTTGTCCTTATGTCCTTAAGGGGCTGTCAGTCAATGATGTCACAGCATCTTAATATTCCTATTGGTTGATCGATATCAGATTCTTTAGATAGATTGTACATGTCTTGCTCTCTCAGCGGTGACTAAGGACAAGACAGTACAATAATAGCTTCTTGCAGCAGCAGACAGCCAGAGATCTGAGAGTCTGAGAGTACGGATTATTTACTCTTTCGCGTGAAGGCTGTGGCGGACAGTTTGCTCCATTTGCTGCCTCTGCTAATACAGAGGTCGACCCGTAGTGTACAGAAATTTGGAGGAGGTGGTTCAGCGTCTTTTTCTGCAAAAATCAGATCAGACATTCGGACACCCTTCTCACATACTGCCTGTGGAAGCCATCTAAAGTTATTTATCGGCATGTTTGTCTGTCTGTGGCATTAAAGTTCTTTATAGAGTTAGGGAAAGAGCAGTTTAATCAGCTCTTCTCCTCCTGGTCTTGATTGCTAAGCCTGAACGTGAAAAACACGCCTCTTATTATCATATGAACGACGAAATACAGAAACAAATAAATGAATTAATGAAAAAAAAATGAATACATTAATCAATGAATAAAACGAAAATTGTTAAAAATATAGGCATTAATAAAACAAAATACAGAAATAAATAAATTGAGAAACATATAACTGCAGAAAAAGGAAATGTGTATAATTACAATCACAATAAGCAATATATACTTTATTTAGTTTTTTTTATTTATTGATTCATTTACTGAACCATTTATTTTTTAATTTTATTTATTTTTCAATTTGGCTAATCTGGTCCTCCATACCCGCCATGTTGAACGGTATAAACCTTTGCCAGAGCCGGTGTTGTGCCGAATTCGGCACCCCTGCCACGAGATGCACCCCCTCACGGGAGCGCCCGCTCAAAGTCTTTTGCTCGAAAGCGGAGGTCATCCGCTTTTACTTTACATATATCGATTTGAAGAACTTGCAAATCACCTCCTTCGTCTTGATCAACACCACCATAAATTGCTGTTTTAAGAATGGAAATACCCCAGATGTTCTTCTAAAGTACAGTGACTCGTAAATAGTAATACAAAAGTATAATGTAGCCTACATACACCGCTGCTTATGTAACGGAGTTGAAATTAAACAGTTGATAAAATATTGAGTTTCACCAAAATGACTCCATTTTTGTAAAAAGGTTCAGAACAATTGTAAAAAGTTATTTATATTTTTCTAAAAAAGGTTATAATTATTTTTAGGGAGCTTTTCTTTTCTTGCTGTGACATCACTGCAGACTGTGTCCCTCTGCTGCTGCCGTACCTCCATCAGACGAGTGAGAGCTCTGAGATGGACGCTTGTAAGGTCTGCAGCCGTCTAAGGCAAGAGAAGATTAATACACCATAAAATCTGTTCCAGAATAAACAGAGTGGAGAGCGAGCCCTTTTGTCCGACTGTTTGATGACCGAACAGTGGTCGTTACACTTACTTATTCTACGACATAGCAGTCTGCATTGGCTTTGTGTGCAGCAAAACTTGTTTCTTGTTGCTATTTGTCAACAAAATATACATATGAATTTCACCTACTTATCGTGTCATGTTTCTCACTAGTCTGGATCAGGTTCTTTAGATTTTACACTCTAAAGGCAGTGACTTGTAAAAAAAATCTCAGGAGATGCAACCCATTGTAAATCGGGATACACTCTTATTGCTGCCATGTAACTTGCATGGATACATACTGTTTGCAAATACATACTGCTAAAATCATTTCATGGTAGACTCAAAAGAAAGAACATGACAGGGAAATGCTTTGTACAGCAGAACACTGGCCAGAAATTGCTAGTTTTGCTAAATTGGTGTTGCATCCCTGAAAATGTATTGCAGAAAACACATGTTGGCCTTAAGTGTATGTTACTAATATATTTTATAGTTCTGTTCATAAAAAACGTTACAAGAGGATGCTTTTCAAGTGAGTCCACCTGTCAGGAAAATGTACCCTCTGTTAGATCTGGCTGAGGGGTTGTTGTATCTATGATACTTGTATAGGTTTCACATGTTGGTCACAATTATGTGTGATTAATAGGGGGGTGCCTTTTAAGGCAGTCCACCTGCCAGGAAATGCACCCCCTCTAAAATCTGGCTACTTGATACTTATACAGGTGTCACATATTGGTCCAAAATATGCATTACTAAAAATGTTTCATAGTAGTATCACCAAAACTGCTGGGAAATGCACTGCTTCTCAAATCTGGCTATATTATTATCACATCCAGGATGCTTATACAGGTAATGCTTATTGGTTCCAAATATGTTGAAGGGATGCAGATTATCTCCTGTAATCAAATTTGAATATTTTGAATTCTTGCTTAAGAATATTTTTCTCCAATCTATGTCAACAGACATGGCAGTGACCGATGGTAGAGGAGACCGAACTGGGTATTTTAATCATTGTATATAACTGGATGAAAGGTGACCTTTTGGGAACCTTCAAGGTCTTGGGCCTGAGACTCTTGCTGAAAAGATTACGAGACACCATATCTTTGTTGACTGAATCTCACCAATGACTCTGTTCAGTTTTGTTTCTAAGCATATCTAAGTCTACATTATAATAGTTTTGTTGTGTAATGATGGATCAGTGATTATATGTGTAGATTGTCTCTTTTAGATATAATATGAAAGCTCTAACTGCCTCGATGAAGTCTGTGTTAGATGAGGGAGACACCTGCGAGGGCTCTCACCCCACCACTTTCTGTCTTTCTGTCTATCTGCCTTTCTCTCTCTCTCTCTCAAGTCTTTTAGCCTGCTGATTTTCTTTAAGCTTTTCCTTAGTTAAGCCTTTGTGCATGTGGTTTAAGTGAACATAATCTGTTGAGATTATTTTTCTCTATTTTTATATTTTCTTTATTGTATGTTTCCTTGGTATGTTTGTTATCCTGAAAAACATTTTTCTTGTTAAATTTCATAATCTATTCTACTTTTGAAATTCAATATGTGGTTTAGTTTTTGGGGCATATAGCATCACAAATTATGAATGGGTGTTTTTCATACATTAGTAAATTTATATCAACTATGCAGTCGTAAATTACAAACAAAGTTAAAGTTACAGGGGGATGCTGTTTGTGGCACACCACCTTTCACGAGATGCACCCTTTCTTATATTTTGCCATTAAATGTACGAATACTTTGTCAAGTGAATGGTCATTTCCCACAAATATAGATCATTTAATGGCCAAATGAAACAAGAAAAATGTTTTTCAGGATAACAAACATACCAAGGAAACATACAGTAAAGAAAATACAAAAATCGAGAAAAATAATCTCAACAGATTATTATGTTCGCTTAAACCACATGCACAAAGGCTTAAGTAAAGCAAAGCTTAAAGAAAATCAGCAGGCTAAAAGACTTGAGAGAGAGAGAAAGGCAGATAGACAGAGACAGAAAGTGGTGGGGTGAAAGCCCTCGCAGGTGTCTTCTCCATCTAACACAGACTTCATCGAGGCAGTTAGACCTTTTTCATATTATATGTAAATGAGACAATCTACACATATAATTACTGATCCATCATTACAAAACAAAACTATTATAATGTAGACTTAGATACGCTTAGAAACAAAACAGAACAGAGTCGTTGGTGAGATTCAGTCAACAAAGATATGGTGTCTCGTAATCTTATCAGCAAGAGTCTCAGGCCCAAGACCTTGAAGGTTCCCAAAAGGTCACCTTTCATCCAGTTATATACAATGACTAAAATACCCAGTTGAGTCTCCTCTACCATCAGTCACTGCCATGTCTGTTGACGTAGATTGGAGAAAAATATTCTTAAGCAAGAATTTAAAATATTCAAATTTGATTACGGGAGATAATCTGCATCCCTTCAACATATTTGGAACCAATAAGCATTACCTGTATAAGCATCCTGGATGTAATACTAATGTAGCCAGATTTGAGAAGCAGTGCATTTCCCAGCAGGTTTGGTGATACTATGAAACATTTTTAGTAATGCATATTTTGGACCAATATGTG